AAAAATTGTGGTAAAAATAGTTTGTTCTTTGTTAAAGGCGACGCTAAATATGATATATTTCAGATATGAAGTTACAAAAGTAAATCAGATGTAGTCATTAATAATATGAGCTCAAATTTAAAAATATAGGTTTTACGAACAACTGTATGAGCGAACAAAATAGGTTGCCCAGAACAGCCGAGGTTTAACCAAAAGGTACCTAATGATTAGTGTGCACAGAACACATATGTATGTTTCTCAGAATTTGCAGTATTTCACTAAGAAAGTGGTAGATCAATTTGCCGTTTTAACGTTGGTTTTAATTCGTTCGGTTTGTATCGTTTGTTTGTTTTTCTATAATTATGTATTTAATTGTTTTAATAACAGTCTTTGTAAAAAAATCCCAGCGTGCATTCGATTTCTAAGTTTTTTTGCCGCATTTTTCCTTATGGCTGCCGACGCCCTTCCAGTCTAGTCTACCCACTTTTTTTGCGTGGATTTTCTGAAACCACTATGATGCCAGCACAAGCAATAGCTATTCGTTTCTTGCTTCGCATTTTAAACACTTAGTTTAACTAATCTGCCTCTGCCCCGACCAGATCTTTCAGTTCACTTGAAATACCACGCGCCAGACCAAGTCTGTCTGAAGCGTAAGATTTCACTCCACTAACGGACGGATTTGATACCTCCAATCCCACAGGAAGAATCGGCACTCGTGCTTGGTATGTTAATTAGTGGATAGGAAAAGATTTAATTCGTCCGATCTGGATCTGTCCAATCAAATCTCTACCTATCTGAACTGTACGGATAATCTGCCCGTGTATGGGGCGCTATTGGGAGCATCCCAACATTGCTGGTCCTATGATTTATTTTTGATATTGGCATGACTTTGGGTACGATTGTCAATTATTCGGCTACTTTGTTTCATGTCTCGCAAGGCCCGGGTGACAGAGTAGGTACATACATACATCTATTAAAGTAGCATCTTCGAGCCCAATCTGCTTCATTGCTGTACAAAGAAGCTTCATGGCACACTACAGATTTCAAATGATCACTAATCTCACTCACAATACAACGTAAAACTGGAGAAACCCTTCCACAATGATCAGAATGGAACCGTTTGCAGTCTCATCGGGACACCAAGGTGCATATGCTGCTGTCCGAGCCACAGCGCGCCCTCATCTCCACCATCGAAGCCACCCACACTAAGATCAAAGAGTCGGAAATCGAACTGGAAACCAAGGCGCAATACCCGGAAATCGGAAGCGACGCCGCTGCCAAGAAATGGAAGCAAGTCACCTTGGACACCAGCAAGCAGAACGTGGGAAGCCAGATAGCTGCCATGAACGCGGCCACTGCCCAAGTAAGCGTCTTTCTATGATGGCACCGACCGCGCTAATGCAACCGAAACCTTTTTAGGTGGTTACTTTAACGCTGGCCCAAGACGAAGTGGACCATCACGCGGTTGGAGCGGCCATTACGACCATCGGCAGCAACCTGCCGGAGATGACGCGCGAAGTGAAGAAAATCATCGCCTTCACCGACGACCAAAACATGGGCGACAAGTTGCTGGACGCGACGCGGCACCTGTGCAAAGCATTCAGCGATCTGCTCAGAGCAGCCGAGCCGGAGTCCAAGGAGGTGAGCAACTCGACCGCCCATTAATCCACACGTTTTAACTGACCGCTGTTCAGCCCAAGCAAAGCCTGCTCAATGCGGCCTCGAGAGTGGGCGACGCCAGCACCCAAGTGTTGGCCACCATTGGCGAGGACACCGCGGAAAACAAGGAACTACAAGACTTGCTCATGTCGCTGGCTAAAGCCGTGGCCAATACCACGGCCGCTTTGGTGCTGAAGGCCAAGAACATTGCCTCGACCTGCGATGACCAACAGACACAGAACCGGTAAGTGGCGCTCAATGGGGTTATAGATTGGAAACT